GCAGACATTGCCTGATTTCACAGTTTTTGCAAAATCCACAAAATCGTGAACTGAGTAGGTTCCTACTCATAGATGTAGTCTTGACAGTTGAAGAGGAATATAGCTCCTCTGTCTGCTCATTTGATTACTATTTTGTTATTGGATCATAGGTGACAGCATGGCTTTTTTCACTGAATGAGAAGCTAAGGTGGTCATGGCTTTAGCTGAGAATTTCATTGTTAGCTTTCTTCTGAAACAAGTCAGTGCAGCAGTATTTCTGTCTGCTGCATGATATCCTGTTGTTTTGGGGGTGGGTTTTTTTGTTACTCATCTTATCTGTTGTTGTGGAGTATGGTTCTGTCCTGGTAGTGGAAGCATTCTTTCAGCTGAAGTCTGCAGAAGAATTCTTCCAGTTCTCTACATATATATTATTGTCTAGTTGGTTTGTTTCTCAGGGCAGAAATTCAGGCCTTTGAAGAGTACAAATATTTTGGAGTGGAATAGGGGGAGTTATAATAAAGTTTAACAATGGTGGTGTTCTAGGTAATGTTGGTATTCTCTCCTGTGTTGCTGGTATCCAGGCTGAGGTGGCCCTTGTGACAGTGGATTCCTCTTTTGAATGGTCTTGCTCTTCCAAAGTATCCTTTTCTACTTCATTTCTCTCTTTTGGCTATTCCTAAGAACATCTCTTTGCTCCTATTTTGCAGCCTTCTTCCATTCCTTTAAGCAGATTGTTTGTTTTTATTTACTTACTTTTATTTACTACTGCTCTACTGCTACTTTGCTCAAACTGCATCTGCTTCTTTCTGAGGAAGACCTAAGAAAAGTGCCTCATGCCTGACAGTTTGACCAAGATCTCTTCCCTACTATATAGTTGGTCCAAAAAAAGATAAATCACCCCTTCAAAAAAATCTTTGCCTCTTGCAGATTCCCTTAGCAATACACAGAGAACGTCCACTATAGCCGCCTACTATAAGAAAAATATAAGCAATACTTCAGAAAAGCCTAATACTTCATTCTGACAAGAGCAGCTTTAGTGAGGATTCCTGTTTCTAAATAAATACTAACTTGCTATTGACTGGTTAATTACGGAATATATTTTATCAATCCTTTCTGCTGCTTTTAGCACAAAGAAGGCTATGGGCATAATATTACAGTGGAGTTAATTTATCTAGATATAAGCAAAACTTTTGATACCACATCATAAGAAACAGGACAAGGATCAATGCTAAATCTGAATTGGAACGTTCAGGGCAGTGTGGCAAAGTACAATCCACGGTGGTAGGGAAGCAGGCACCTTGAGCACCCATACAGCACAGTGGTAATCTGCTTATCTCTTCACACCTCACAACACCCTTCAAAGAATCTTGTTCTTGTAGCACCCAAGACTGCCATGGCACCCCGGTTGACAACTCTGTCACTGAGATAGTGTATCGTTGAGGTTTGAGGCATTATTTCTCATCGCTGTGGGTAAACAACAAAAGTGGCAATTTGGGGGATTCTTTCAGTTTATGACTGCTGGTAGACGCAAGGAACTGGACTCAAGGGACCAAGGAAGCATCTTCCAGTCTTATGTTCTTAACTACGGAAATATACTGATTTGTCCACAAAGGTATCCAAATCTATCAGGCACTTTCCTTGATTAATTATAATCAGATTTTTCCATAAAGAGATACTTCCAGTAACCATCACTGTAAGGCATTTTGTACAAGGGGGCATATCCTGGAGCAGGGATGGGCAATAATTTCAGTGGGAGAGCCACTTAACGAATACTAGTGAGCTGTTGAGGGCCAGGGCCAGCAGGTGTGGGTGAGAGCACAGCTCTGGCTGCCCCAAATGTGGCTCAGTCCCATGCAGAGAGCCATGGGTGCAACTGTGGGCTGGATCCAATCAGTTGGAGGGTGCCCGCCATGAGCATGCCAGATCTGGCCCACAGGCCATATTTTGCCCCCCCCCCGTTCTAGAGTTTAAATCACAGCACAAGTTTTCCAGGAAAGTTTTTAGAATTGATGCTACAAAGTGCCAAGTAGGTTTGTGGTACTATATAAATAATTTTTAAATAATGTTTTCATTATTTACTTATTAACTTTATTAGGCTTCCAGAGCTAAAAAGCAACGTATTACACTATTTACACTTGTATACAAACTTGAGTTATTACTCATACAATTAACATTAGAGATTTTTTGGACTGATACTAATGGCTGATTTTTAATGAGCCATATCGGCCAATACCAAACTGATCGCTGACATACAGCCAGGCAGCTTGGAGAGCAGCATCCAGCTGGTAAGTCTCTTGTGGTGGCAGTGCTGAGAGGAGGGTTATGGGGGACTGAGGGAGGCTGCAGCCACCCCAAAATTCACCGTAGCCCCCCTCCCAGTGCTACCACCACCTGCCCCAAGTGCAGCCTGGCCCAAGCCCCACCAAGAAGAACCCAGTGCTGCCCCAGCACCAGCCTGCAACGGAAGCACACCTTTGCTCCATGCACAGATCTGGGGGCACACACTGCCCCCATGCCCTCCTTGCATATGTGCAGCAGCGGGAGCCACCACCAATTTTCCTTATATCAGAGCTGATCCAATATGGGACCGATCTATTGATGCAGCGCTAATTAACGTGCAAAAAACTTCAATGAAGCTGACAAACTCATCTCACCTCATTTCTCTCATCCACATCCTTACACTTTTCAAGAAGCGCTTTCAGAGCAGGAACATTCCCTTCTTCCACATAAGTCAAGACACTCTGAGTCATCAAGCTGGCCATCTTTGGACAGTACTTCAAATACTTCTACAACAGCACACACCTGTATTTTAAAAAGTCAGTAAAGAAGCTATCAGATTTTATTTCATTATTAGAAAGAAAGTAAACTATGCTGGTTTGCATAAAGATCTCTCACACTAACCAAATAAAATACTTTAGTGAACACAAACCAATTCTGAATAGCAATGGAACCTCTGTTAATTTATTGTAATTACTTGAAAATCTAAATGCTTACCCAGTTCTTAAACACAGAAGCACTAATGCAGGAACAGCAGGTTTTGAAGAAATTAGGTAAGACTCTCTCACTTACCTCTCACTCAGTGTATATGCATACATAGATATATCCTAATGTTTTCATCTAGTCATGTGAAATACGTAGCATTATAAGAAATATCCAAAATGACAGGAAGCCATTTGATTTCCAGAATACAAATTTCTTAAAGCAAAAGCAGACATCAGCTTCATACAGACAGCCCAGAGCTTAGTGGAGCATGGCTAATTTATTACTCAACATTTCCTTCTCAGGAATATCAAAGCCTCTACTGACACATTCTCAGCTGCTGTTCTGTCCTTCACAAAAGGAAGAGGTTGATCATGCCACTAGGAAAGGACACCAGGACTCGGGACAAGATCTGAAAAAGCCTAACAGCACTGTGCCTCTTTCTGACATGAAAGATGTGCTAGTGCTTCTAGTTCTTGCCCACAACTGCCACTATCAGAACAGCTGGACCCCAGCCATTTGGGATCCAAAACAAGTTGAAGCTCAGTCTATGAAGGGTTCCAGTACAGTAGAGGTGATTACAGTAGAGGTGATCAAAACACACAGACAGCCTAAAACACAAGCAGCACTGCAACCAAGACTATATTCATTGAAAACAACAAATGAGGAGATATCCACCTTTTATATAAGACAAGGACAGGCAATTATTTTGGTTGATGAGCTACTGGTTGGCCACCAGTGAGTTTTAGCAAGCTGCTGAGGGCTGCACACACAAAATATTTCAGAAGACATCATTTTGGCAAGTTACAGATTTAAAAAATATACTAAAATTCAAACATCTATCATATTTCAATTTCATTTCAAAAGATATTTTTGTTCCAATTTATTGGGTGGGGAGGTTTAATAGTATATATAGAGGCAATTGCATAATAGCTCAAAATAGTCTTGCTCTTGTATACTGTGGGGGTAGGGTGTGTGGGTGTACATGCAGATGGGGTACGTGTGTGCATGCACCTAGGGGGCTGCACATGCACTAGGTCCTGGGAGCCAGCTGGGGGTGGGGGCGGTGGAGAAGGCAGAGGACAGCATGGGGTGTGTACAGCAGAACTTGCCCAGGAGGGAAAGATACGTTCTGCCTGCCCCCAGGTGGGCCGCTCTGCTCTGAATGGGGCCAAACCCCACCTGCTCCCTCCTAGGGCAGCCTGCACTGCACTCCCTCCAATGGCAATGCCCTGCCCAAGATACACAGCTTCTCGGCAGGGCTGCTCTCATTATTGCTGCATCTGCCTGGGTACCGCTCGACTCCCCCCACCTCCTGTAGCTCTTCCCTCCTCCTGCTCCTGACCCTGCTGTGCTACTCCAGGCAGGAAGGAAGCAGCAGCAGCTGGGCAGCTCTTGCCTCAGCACATCGGCTCCAGCTCTTAGCTACCTTCCACCTAGTTGGCTGCCCACCATAGGTGGAGTGAGAAAGTATTATTGGAGGGGGGGGGCTAAGCACACACTTCCACACACATGCACCCACCAACACCCCCACCGCCTCAGCAGGTAAGTCTGCCATGGGAGAGTGGCTGGGGGGGGGAGGGGCAGATTGAGGCCACCAC